TGTGATACGGAATTTCAAAAAACGTATACAAAACTTATTTATAATAATGAAAAAACGTATGCAAATTTTTTATAGGGGATTTCTAACAAAATCTTTCCAATTCTTTTGATCAATCTTCTTATTTGTTAATTGTACAAGAAATTTAGGCTTAAATTCAAGGGATATATCTTTCTGATTTTTACGCAATGGGATAAGTTGGGAGAGCATACATTTGTATGGATCAATAGATCCTATTTCAATTGCTCTTTGGTAAATTGCCCATAATCGGAACATAATCACCGAAATTGTCAAATGTTCATTTTGATCTGGAGATAATGCATTGCTCAGAGTATCGAGAATCTTGATTTGTAGAATTATGGAAGTGTTACAACTAGAAAAAATCTCATGGAGAATAAGAAAGGGGAGCTTTATCTTCTTTTTATGATTTCCTTCTAGGAAAATAAGCTCATCTTTCTCCAAATCCTGTAGATTATAAAAGTTAGAGTTACATATACAAAGCACTAAATTTCAAGATTATAGGTGTACTTACTTCAACTTTACGCTGCTTAATACCAAGTGTAGTTGACCGATCAACAGGCCACTCAAATATGGTGTAGGCTGTTAAAATAGGGATAAGTTCAAGATTTTCATTCTCCATAAAAATTTCAAAGTACCGGGAATACTTTATACTGATTTGTTTTTTCAGTGCATCAAGAAGCCTTTGGCAAGATTCCATTTCATATTGACATTTTTGAAGGAAGTATCGTAATCCGCTTTGATAAAATTTCATCCTACACGTAGATGCATCACACTCAACGGCTGTACCAATGATACCCATTTGAAATATCATGACTTCTAGAAAACAACCGATAACACCTAGAAGTTCGATTATATACTCCAGATGGGTGGAAATCTTATTGATCCTGCCGATAACAGATGTAACAATATAGTAAGTAATGTTACAAAATACATCAACAGCTAATACTACTCACCTTTTTGTCTCATCATTCTAACAAAAATATTAAGTAAAATTAGCTAAGTATTATTAGAAGGTGAACCTTAACGCTAATAATTATAACTTACTACTCCCCGGTTAGCAAGATCTAATATAACTTCTTTAGCATGTTCAGTTTTCAACAGTGGTAAAGCTATGTCTTCAATTTTCGAGTTTGATGATATTATTACATCAAACAACGCGTTTGCATGTGTTCCAGTTAGCACAATAAAAAGAAAATAACCATTTGATGTGATTCTTGCAAGAGCCTAGAGAACTGTCCCGAGCCATCCGATACGTCCATTCCTGAATAATACATTTGTCTCATCAATGTTAATTATAAAAAGGGGTTTATTGTCTTTTTTGTTATCTGGGAAGTAATCTAAGATTACATCAATAACTTGATCGAGTTCAATCGTACGAATTCCAAGTATATTTTTAAATTTTATAAATGTGATATCGATACTGCAAGAGTGGTTTAAAGTGATTAAGTAGTAAGTAAGTATTACAGAATTATAAACAGATGGGACTTACTTCTTCTGAACTTTCAAAGCCTCGTATAGTAACCTTATCGCGAAAGACGTTTCGGGAAAATCTAAATCATCATCTGCTAATTTATCACACATGATTTGAAAAATCTGGCCCGCATTACGACATTCTTTCACCGCATCTACAACTTCATCATGTACTATTTCAGAATAAATCTCTTGATTTTCAAATGCCATTCGAGCAAATGTTGTTTTCCCTTTTCCAGCCGTACTAACAGCCGTGGGAAATCTTATTTCCTTTCTTGGTTGCTTATACGCTTTTAGATTTGTGACAAGGAGATACAAACTATTCATATTCGTCATAAGTTTAATGATCTCTTTTTCACGATTTACAAACTTTAAATAAGTTGAAATGTCAGAAACATCATTTGGGATATTGTCTGGTAATTCACGAGGTAGATCATGAATATATGGTTTAATAGCTTTTTCGATTTTCTCAACAGTTAGAATACATTTGGCTTTGGATAGTGGATTAATAAACATGTTATTAAAGCGTCACGTTAATTTCGGACAATTGTTACGACGTGAAGGCTTACCTTGAGGTTCATCTAAATTGGGTTAGGAGACCAAAAAAGGCAAGTTAGTTAAAGTGCACCGAATACTCAAAGTTGTTCACACTCACTTCTTAGAACATACCAGTCTTTAAAAAAATCTTTCTTATAAAGTCATGTTTTTCTTCAATCGTTTGGCAAGTTTCAAGTAAACTTAAAGCTTTATCTACTTCATTAGGATTTTTAAAAAAGTAATAGCGTAAAGTGGACTTTTCTTCGACAGTAAAAGTGAGATTATTAATTATTTCACCAATGATTCTGATAGACATTTTGCTTTTTGTAAAAAAATTCTTCTAAAAAAACAAGAGATGAGAGAATAAAAGGTGGTTCCTTAATAAATCAAACTTTCTTAAATACAAATTTTTATCAAACTTTCTATAAACCTTCATCACGTAAATATATTCATGTGTCATTATGAAATAAGATATTCGGGATATTAAACAGAGATTACAGTGCTAATATAATTAGCTACGAAATTTTCAACCCATAGTCTTTTCCTAGAAACAAGACTATACAAAATTTTCGTTTATCTATATCTTTCTCACTCACACGGACCATATATAGGATTAAGTTCTGCAAGAGGACTTCCGAACCTATAGCACTGAATATTAGTAATGAGTATATATCCATAATTTCGATAAAAATAATCCTCTCTTACCAATGATATTTAATTTTCTTAGCATTCCAATCCCGAAAAAAATTATGGTAAATTCTCAGAGTCTTATAGTAATAGGAGTAATAGGTAAGTATAAGTTCTTTTGCGTTACTGCGCAAAATATCAAAGTTTGATCAAACACAGATTTCGGTACTAAGGCTATTTGATACTTTTTTAAAAGTGATTTTATAATTTCGTCCCATTTGTCCTGGCGGATTGTCTTAAATTTCTTTTTAGATGCTTCTAACTAATAAGAGTAAACAAGAATATTAAAGTCTCGCAAATGGCAACATAAAAAAAACACAGTACCGAAACCCAAGCCGTTTTTAGTAACTTTCTGTCAACTTCTGTTAACAATTTTTTAACTGGATTCGAAATATTTCGTTCTGATAAATTAACTACACGATAACGATATTTAGATCATTTTATTTTTTTGACTATTTTACGGACTTCCCCTGTAGTAACCTGTGAAGTCTAAAGAAAGAACATAGATTAGATAAGGTATGATGTAAGATTAAAATTGTACAAATAAGCGTTGTTAAATTCTGAGATAAATGGACAGCTTCTAGATAGTTATCTTTGCTAACATTATCATCAATGTTGTCGTTAGTGTTATCGTCATAGACTTCTTTATAAATTCGCTCATTATTTGATTCCAAGAGCTCTCGAATATGTGATTCCTCAATATCGCAATATTGTAGTTGTCCTTGTGTTATTGCGCACATCAAAAAAGAAGACAAATTCATAGTTGCGAATTAAAACATAGTTACTTCTTGTGGTCCTTCGTCATCTTCACCATCTTCATCATTTTCATATTCGTCACCTGCATTTGTTGTGTGAGTCGAAACCTGGATGTTGAAGAGAAAAAGTGCAATTTTTAAATTAAAACTAATTCATAAAAGTCCCATGAAACCAAATAATAAATACTACCGTTTCGGTAACTGATTTCTCTAATATTATATTAACGGCACGTTCCACTTTTAATGAACTTTGAATCTGCAATAACAGAATTGTGAAAAGCTGAACCCTAAATATTTCGAATACTTATTCAAATGCAATCCTATCCGAATCCGCTTTCATTCCCGATTATACTCGTAGGTATCCTGCAAATCTAGAAAAAGTTTTCTTTCACTTCTATTATTTTTGACACGGTCAGCTATACCTCTTGCACTTTCCTGCAGAGAAGAAGAAACATATTTATAGTTCGCTATTATCATCAGATCTTGTACAAAAGAACCATGAGACGGTCTTTTTGCTGTTGAAAAGTAGAGATCATAGTTGCTCCAATTTGAAGTAGAATTTCTTTTGAAAAACACGCTAACTTTTACAAAGTCAGGACAGGTTACCATTTTTAGATCGTAAAAGAGAAAAAAGAAAATAGGTCGTTCAACTGATAAGTATAGCTTACGTGATAGTAAACGCGAGTCGCGAGAATAAGCACGTGACAAATATGCAAGTCACGTGAAAGAAAATATTTATTGACGAATGATCGTGCTGAACAGACTAAAAATTTTTTGCTTCCAGGACAACATTTCCCTACGCCCAGTCGGTCTCCTGACCCTCCTGGCCTGTGCTCATCGTCGGGTTTATGAAACGCGTATGCCTTTCGGGAATGTTGTTCCACAGACGTCGCAGGTCTATTACTCATCTGAGAGCATTCCCCTACGCCCAGTCGGTCTCCTGGCCCTCCAGCATATCGGACATTTGTATAATTGGCTGTTACACAAAATTGTGTAACATCGCTTTTTATACAGTTTAAAGTAATA